CCAGGAGGGGGAGGAGGAGGAGGAGGAGGAGGAGGGGGAGGAGAAGGAGGAGGAGGATGGGGAGGAGGAGAGGGAGGAAGAGGAGCAGGAGGAGGAGGAGGAGGAGGAGGAAGAGGAGGAGGATGATGAGGAGGGAGGCGGCATGTGATAAGGAAGAGAGGAGGAGGAGGGCGGAGGAGGAGGAGGAGGAGGAGAGGAGGGACCCCCCCTTTGCCCCCCCCCCCCCCCCCCTCGGGGAGGAGGACCGGAAAAGGACCGGCGTGGGAGAGGGGAGGGGAGGGGTGGGAGGTCTCACCAGGCCCAGATGTCGCCACCAACGGATGGTCATGGAATTGTTCTGGATATTTCTGGTGACATCTCGGTGCTCTGCCCCAGGCGTCCGTGTGGCGCGCCTCTCGGACCCCCAGCAGGGCCTTCGAGGACCCAGCTCGGGCCTGTCCCTCTACAGGGGGAAAGTTCAAAAATAGTAAAACCATAGTCTGGGGACGATTTGTTTTGCCTTTTTTTTGTTGGGTATGTTTGAATACTTTAGGTGTACGTTTTACTGTCGTCCAAAATCCGCCTGTAGGGGGACATGCCCGACCTGAGATTAAGCCGATGGTTCCAGTCGTGCTTCCGGTCGGCATCCTTGAGATGGCGTGTCGCTCCACCGGCTCCGGCCCACCACGCTTCGGCGCGACGCGCTGTCCACTTCCCCGTCCCCAGGCTTCGCCGTCCCAGCCCTGCCGAGCCCCCTGCCCCGCGGAGCGGAGCGACACGCTATCTGCTCGCATACACAGCGTGTCGCCAGGGCTGCCGCCGCGACACGCTAAGCTGATGCTCCCGACCGTATGCCGTATGCTGAGGACGCGGGATGTCGGGGGAGGGTCGCAGGACCCCGCTCCCGCAAGGGCGGCGGAGAAACGGTGAGCCGCTCGGCACCCCGAGGAGGGACGAGGAAAAGGAGGACGGGGAGGAGGAGGAGGAGGAGGAGGAGGAGGAGGAGGAGGAGGAGGAGGAGGAGGAGGAGGAGAGAGGAGGAGGAGAGGAGGAGGAGGAGGAGGGGAGGAGGTGGGAGGGGGAGGGGGAGGAGGAGGAGGAGGAGGAGGGAGAGGAGGATGGAGGAGCGGAGGAGGAAGAGGAGGAGGAGGTGGAGGAGGAGGAGGAGGAGGAGGAGGAGGAGGAGGAGGAGGAGGAGAAGAGGGAGGAGAGGGAGGAGGAAGGGGGTGTCTTCTGGCCAGGACTTGGAGGGGAGCTCGGCCGTGGCGACGAGCGGCCTTCGCGAAGAGTCCCAGCGACAGGCAGAAACGTCGAGACTCATCGATCCGCCTCCCTCCTCCCTCCTCCTACTCCTCCTCTTCCTGCTCCTCCTCCTCCTCCACCTCCACCTCCTCCTTCTCCTCCCTCTACCCCTCCCTCTCGCTCCTATTCAGACTCTTCCTCCTCCTCCTCCGCTTCCTCGACCCGTAGATGACACCCCAGGTGAGAGCGCCCTTCGCTGGTAGGGCAGGCGGATTTGCAGTCACTTGGAAGACGTCTGTCTCCTCCCCAGGGCGCGGCCACTGGAAGTATGATGGAGCGGAACATGGGTCAGTTATGGGCACCCTCTGCAGGAGGGCGTTGGCTATTTTCTTGCACGACACAGACGATCAACAGATGTGCAACGCCTTGGCTCGCGCTGCAGCACGAGTTCAGCAGCTGCGACAGTACTATCTTGACCAGCGACCTGACCTACGTGAGCGGGTCAAGGTAGCCCTCGACCACATCACCACGCTCTACGAGGGCCTCGATCGCCTCACCAGCGACCAGCTCGTCCAAGGCCTGACCCAGGTGGTGAATGATGTCGAGGCGGTGGCGGCCTGTGAGGTTGCACGTGGCATCGACAAGGCGCGCAAGGCCTACGCTGATTGGGTCCGTCGCATGTGGCGCACCTCCCCTTGAACGCTTCACAAACATGTGCGAGACCCTGTTGCACCTCGGCCTGGGGATGCCGCGGTGGAGGCCACGGCTACCTCCATTGCGGCTATTGCGGTGGCAGACCCCATCACCATCATGGCCACCAAGTCCTCGAAGTGGGGTCTGATATGGACGGATGCGGTGGACACGCCCGAGAGCATTGTGCAGGCCCTTGGGTACATCCGTCAGAAGGCAGCTGAGGAGGACATCCCTCCGTTGCAGATCGAGCAGCTGCAGGCAGGCATTGGCTCGTGGAGTTGACGGTCTCGGAACGGGTGATCTTGGCCGCCTGCCGCCTCCTGGCATTGAGACGCTGGCCGAAATCCTGCGGCGCTGTGAGGCTGTCCAGGCGTGGCCGTTGCAGCTGGCAGCCGCCCTCTCGGCCCTCGCCCCGAAGCCGTCGGGAGAGGGGAACCGCGTCCTTGGCATGGCGTCGCTGCCTGTCAAGCTGTGGTCGAGGGCTCGCCAGACGTTCACGTCGCAGTGGTGCCCCAGGCGTGCCGCTTGCTGGGACACAGCTGTCAGGGGCTCGTCAGCCCTCAGAGCAGCCCTCCTCAGGGCGACCCTTGACGAGGCCGCCCAGCAGCAGCAGCTGAGTTTCCTCGTGCTGCTCTTGGACACCGAGAAGTTCTACGACAGTGTCACGTTGGCTGGCTTGCTCCATATAGGCCTGGATTCCGGTTTCAGTCCGACCGCCATGGGCCTCGAGGTGCAGGTCTACCTCCACCCGCGCTATCTGAGGGAGCGTGGATGGCTCAGCGAGGCGATCAACCCTACGCGCAGCATTGTGGCTGGGTCGTCGCACGGGGTCCCGTTCTCCAAGCTGGCCCTCTACCCGATCCCGGAGAGGGTCCACCAGGAGGCCCCACCCGCGTCCTTCTGGACGCTCATTGACGACATTGTTGGGCGATGTGAAGGCACGGCTCAGGCTGTGCTACTTGTTATGGATAAGATTGGTACGACCCTGGCCCGTGGATTGGAGGAGCAGCGGCTGGCGGTCTCCTGCAAGTCACTCCTCCTGGGCTCGTCGACCAAGTTGGCGAAGATGTCGGCGAAACGCTTGCGAGCGAGAGGCGATCCCGTCAAGCCAGCCTCCCAGGGCGTCGACCTCGGCCTCGACGTGGCTGCTGGCAGGCGCACGGTCTGCGCGAAGTCGTTCTCGCGCCGTCTCAAGTCGCAGCGTCGTGCAGGACGCATCAAGCGGCTCAGGCGCACCGCGGCCCTGGGTCGTGAGGCCCGCTGCCTCTGGGCCACTGGAGCGTTCCCGCAGGCCGTCTACGGGCACCAGGTCCACGGCGCACCGCCGTCGGCCCTGCTGGCGCTGCGACGCCAGGCTGCTGCTGCAGTGGCGGGTGGCCAAGGTGTGCGCTGCCTGACCAGCACGTTGGCGGCCTCCTTCTGTCTGACGGACGTTGCGGTGGAGCTCCGTCGGCAGCAGGTCTTGGAGTGGCTCAGTCTGGCAAGCCCAGCCTGGCTTCAACCGCGAGTCAAGTTGGCATGGCTTTCGATCCGAGCTCGGATACTGAAGGCTGGGAAGCGGCGCTGGAATATCGTGCGAGGCCCGATTTCTGCGATCATTGCTACGTTGTTGGACGCGGGGTGGGGCCCGAAGTCTGCTGGTGTCTGGATCCGCCCCACGGCTACTGGAGTTGATGAATGGCATAGACCTTCGAGTAGTGAGGAGGCATTCGGGAATTCCGGGTCCACTACTGAGCTTGTGGACGACCTCACGTGTGATATTCGTTCGGCATTTTGGGCTGAGGCGAGCAAGCATGACGCTGGTGATGGCCTCGACGGTGGCGGCGGCTTCTTCCATATCATGAGGGGGCTCAAGCGCTACCAGGCCCGCAGCCAGCGCGACGAGCACGTGTTGAACCTCACTGTGGTGGCGGGAGGGCAGTGGACGTATGCGGCGTCATCTGTGCGGCTATAAGATTGAGTCCACCATGTACCCTGAGACGCTGTTCCACAGGATATGGTCCTGCGAGGCCAACCGCGACCGCGACGACTACGACAAGACCGCCTCGCTGTCTGCGGCGGCGATGGCGCAGCGTGAGAGCCGGCCCACCTCCTGGCTCCGCGGTGTGCCCACTGTCTGCATGATCGCGCCTCAGTTTGATGAAGCGCTGCTGGCCACGCTTGTGCTCAGCTGCCCGGCGCCTTTGAGGGCTGCAAGGAACGGGGGGGGGCGGTGTTGGACGGGGGCGGGTCGGGAGGGAAGCACTCGGACGATCCTCGTCGGCGCCGATGAGGCGCTGCGATTGTGGCCCTCGCTTGCAACGGCGAGGGTGAACACGTGGAGTGCGCTGGCATCGCGAGGCCCCCTCAAGGGGCTGAAGCAGTCGGCCCCGAGGGCCGAGCCCCTCGCTTTCTGTCTCATGCTCGGGAATGTTTCAGGAGATGTCGAATTCGTCACCGACCATAAGAATATTGCCAGGTCCTGGAAGTATATTTTGGAGAGCCCAAGGGCCTCTCGACTCCAGGAGCATCTTTGGGAGCGCGATCGGAAGTCTTGGAGAGCTAGGCCTGGGCAGGTAGCGGCGAGATGGACCCCATCGCACGCAGATGAGAGAGAGCGAGTTTTAACAGTGACCAGGAGATGCACGGCCAGGGGTAACATGGCAGCGGATATCTGGGCGGGGAGGGCGGCGGAGTTGGCGTGGGAGAGGGGGCTGGTGGGGGGCCTTCCTCGGACCGATGCGGTCGACCCTGCTGCAGCGATGATCAGGAGGCGTGCCCGTCGCGCCTTGATGGATTCAGCGGCCGTCGAGAAGAACTCGAAGGCTGAGAGAGATGCGGTGGCCATCAAAGCGGTGCCGAAGTCTAGAGTTGCATAGAGTTGCCCGAGCTGTTGCTGCGTCCGCCCACCGCCTCCACCTGAGGGGCTAATCGTGGGTTTGCGAGGCATGCCTTCAGACTGTGCCAAAGTCCAGGCTCCTGGAGCTGAGCTCGAACCCTTGTATTCCTCCCCCTCCTCCTCCTCCTGAGGCTCTTGTCCTGGCTAGGGACCCCAGGGTATTTCAGGGAACCGGTTTGAGTTTGCAGGGAGTTGAGGTCCACCCGTCTCATTCGCTCGGACGTTCGGACCAATTCTGCCTCACCTTTTGTCACACCTGCGGGGCTTATGCCACTATAGATCCCCGCCAACTTATCGCTGAATGTCGCCCGGGTCGGAAAGGCTCGGAAAACTTGGCCCGTTTGGGCAAGAGCCTCTGCCCTCGGCGTGAAGGGCCCCCCAAGGCTGTTAAGATGGCGATGCAGGCTAGTGAAAAGCTTGCTGCCCGAAGCAGGCGGCAATTGTGAGCGGAGTTGGTTCGTCAAGCGAGCCTGGCCCCGCCCCCGCTAATCCTCAGGACGCGCCTGCGGGGTCTAACCCCTGATCCCTCGTGGGTGCAGTCCTCCCCTTTGAAGCTGCTGCCCCAAGTCTTCCCAGTGAGCCTGGGGGCCAGTGGCCCGCAACACTGATGCTCCGATTGAATCCCAGCTTGAATATTCCTCCGCTTCTTCTTCATCATCGTCATCATCATCATCAGCATCATCACCATCATCATTACCATCATCATCATCATCATCATCATCATCATCATCATCAGCATCAGCATCAGCATCATTATCATCAGCATCAACATCATCATCAGCACCATCATCATCAGCATCATCACCATCGTCATCATCATCATCATCATCAGCAGCAGCAGCAGCATCCCCTCTCCGCCACGTCTTCCTTCTCTTTCTGCTCCTTCTCCTCCCCCTTCTCCCTCCTCCCCCTCTCCTCCTCCTCCTCGCCCTCCTCCTCCTCCTCGCCCTCCTCCTCGCCCTCCTCCTCCCCCTTGCTGTGTTCCCTCCTCCCTCATCTCAACCCATGCCCACCGCATGCCCCCCCGTCACGAGCGCCGCGCTGCCGCCTCGGCCGAGCTCTGCCCGACACGCGCCCCCGGCAGTGCGGGCGCCGAGCACCGCGGCCGCGGCCGCGAGGCGCGGCCTCGGGCCGCGCCGCCTCGGCTCGCGGGCGAAACACAGATCGACATCCGCGTGACGGGCCTGTCTTCCACTTCCACCACCATGAGCTGGAGGGGGGAAGGAGGTGGAGGAGGAGGAGGAGGAGGAAGGAAGGAGCAAGGAAGAGGAGGAGGAAGGAAGGAAGGAAGAGGAGGTGGAGGTAGGAGGTGGAGGAAGGAAGAGGAGGAGGAGAAGGAGGAGGAGGAGGGGGAGGAGGTGGAGGATGAGGATGAGGAGGAGGAGGAGGAGGAGGAGGAGGAGGAGGAGGAGGAGGAGGAGGAGCAGGAGGACACCCTCCCCCCCAACTCATGATGGTGGTGGTGGCGGTGGAACACAAGCCCATCACCGCGACCTCGCGGGCTGGGTCCCCGGGTTCGAAGAACAACGAACAGCATCAAGAGAAATTCTTTGTGAACTGTTTGGCGCTCTCCGCGCGGATTTCTTGGATCTCCGCTGGGCCCCTCTGGCGGCGCCTCCGGCGCCGCCGTTGGCGCGCGGGCGGACCGCCAAAAGTGTATGTTTATGCAGTAGGTTGTTTCTCTTACGTATGGGTCGCGATCCCGTTGACGCGTGGCCCTTGTGCTCGCGGATGCCCCGCGCGGAACGTACCCCTGCGACTGCGCACCCGCGGGACCGCGCCCCAGCATCCAGAGACTGCGGGGGCGCGGATACGGATGCGGTCGAACATCTGATCACGAAGCCTCCTCCCGAAAAGCTGGGCCCTCGATTCTTAACCAATTTGCTGGCAAGCTCGCCTGGTTCCTTGAGCACGATCGCCCCCCCCCCTTTGCGTCAGCAGCCGAAGTGGGCCCGGGCTTGTCTCGAGAAATTGCTGGAAAGTTGGCCCAGGTCTCTTACATGATAAGTTTCTTGATGAGATGTTCGACAAGTGTTAGCATATCATTCAAGACTTCAGGGCCAGCTTCTGCGAAGTCTCTTGAAACATTTCTGTTGTTCACGCTGGATGGGGCAACCGAACTCAAGAAGGTGGGTCAGCTCTCCTGCGAGTTGGTTGAGAACCGCTGGCCCAGCGTTCCGGGAGAAGGCTCCTTGATCAGATGGTCGACCATATGTTCGCCTTTCGTGGTCGGCCCTGGCTCTGGATCGGACGGGGCCAGGACGAGGCTGAGTCCGTTCCTGAGCGTTCCAGAGTGCCATCGAAGCGTTCTGGAGCGCTCTGAGAAGGCTGCGGCGCCCGAGACATGCTCCAGAGCCGCCGGACCTCGGAGGCTCTCTCGATGGATCTTCCCCCCGATTGTTCACCTCGCCCTGGCCTCGTCTTGGGCTGGAGGGTTTCTCCGAAGGGCTTAGGCGACCCGTTCTCCTCCTCCTTCCCCTCCTCCTCCTCCTCTTCCACCTCCTCCTCCTACTCCTCCTCCCTCCTCCTCCCTCCCTCCCCCTCCTCCTCTCCTCCCTCCTCTCCTCCTCCTACCCCCTCCTTCCTCCTCCTCCTCCTCCCTCCTCCTCCCCTCCTCCTCTCTCTCCATCTCCCTCCCTCCTCCCCCCCTCCCCCCTCCTCCTCGGGTCACCTACGGCCCCAGGGGAAACCGTACACCACCTCGCCCTGGCCTCGTCTTGGGCTTCTGGATCAGATGCTGGACCGCATGCTCGCCGCCCGTGGTCGGCCCTGGCCCTGGAGCCCCCCCCCCCCGGGGCACCGCGCGGGCGCCTCAGTGGCCCCGACGGCGGGAGGAGGCGGCCCTCCTCTCCTCCTCCTCCTCCTCCTCCTCCTCCGCCTCCTCCTCCGCCTCCTCCTCCTCCTCCTCCTCCTCCTCCTCCTCCTCCTCCTCCTCCTCCTTTTCCTCCTCCTCCTCCAGAGGCGCGCGCGCGCGGCAGCGGACCGAGGCGGCGTGTCGAAGAGGCCATGGGCGCCGCGGGGGAGGCCACCGCGGACGCGGAGGAGGCCCAGGCCGCGGCGGCCGAAAGGAGGACCCGGCGGGGCTGGGGTCAAGTCGGCATGTCCCTCTACAGGAAGAGCATCCAAAAATAGTGAAAAATAGTCTGGGAACGATTTGTTGATTATTTTTTGGCTATTCTGGAATATTTAGTGAGTATTTTCATTTTTTCGCCCAAAATCCGCCTCTACGGGAACATGCCCGACCTAAGGCTAGGGTCAAGTCGGGCGCGTCCCTCCACAGGAATGATATAGTATATTCAATCATCGGAACAGTGGGGACGATGTTCGATTATGTTTGGGCTCGTTGGGTTCATTGTTTGACGCTTCCAATATTATTGCTCGATGTTGTTCGATTGTTTGGGCCGATTGGCGCTATTATTTTAGGGCTATTGGAGAATGTTGGGGGCTATTGTTCGATTTTGTTGGGGCTACTACGTCTCTTCCAGAATCCGCCTGTAGGAGGACGTGCCCGACCTGAGGCCGGGGGCTCACGGCGCCCTCGCGCGGGACTCGACCACGACTTCTCATGGCGACGTTCGGCCCAAGGACTGCGAAGGGCTCGCCCACCCGCCCGGGCCCGCCCGCCAGACCCCGCCCGCTGGGGCCCGCAGTCGCCGCTCGCAGCCGCTCTCGTGCCCCGCCCGCCCGACCCGCCCGCCAGGAAGTCCCGGACGGGGCCGGGGCGCGGATAGATCCGTTGCAGAGCGCTCCCGAGCTCGAGGAAGAAAACACGCTACAAACACGAGCTTTTGGCGCTCCGCGCGGATTTCTTGGAACCGCGCTGGGCCCCCCGGCGGCGCCCCCGGCGCCGCCCCTGGCGCGCTCCGCGCGCCAGGGAGGGAGGTCCGGCGCGGATCCAAGAAATCCGCGCGGGGCGCCAAAAGTTTGCGTTTACGTGATTTTTCTTTTTCTACGAACGTTCCCAGAGCGTTCCGGGACGCTCTGAGAAGGCCGCGGCGCCCGAGACATCCTCCAGAGCCGCCAGACCTCAGAGAT